CTATGCTGGTGAATCTGGTGTTGATTACTCCTCAAGACCAAGGACTATTTTTTCCAAGCAACACCCACGCGAAGGAGAATCCTTAATTAAGGAGGAAAATTTACGTAATTGTAGACTTAAATATTCCATTCCTTTATCTATTCACCTCCACAAACCCAAACCAGATGATAGATGCCCTTCTGTTCGTTTGGGTGAGGTATGCTTTTTAGAATCGACATTCGCTGCTGGCTTGCGTTTTTCGATTCATCCATTTATAGAAGAAATACTTTCCCATCTGAAGATAGCTCCTTCTCAAATTGCCCCTAATTCATGGAGAATTATTATAGGCTGTTTGATTGTTTGGGGAAAGTGTGGCAATGGTCGTCTAACAGTAAATCAATTCTTACATTTTTATTATCCCAAGAAGAAGAAGGATAACTTTTGGTACTTCCAGTATAGATTAAAGAAGATATTCCTCATTGTTGCAACCGCTGAAAAAAATAAAGGTTGGAAGAGTCGTTTCTTTTTTTATTTCCGGTGCATATGGGAAACTTCCAAGTGTTTAGAATAATTCAGATCCAACAGGTAAGATTTATATATATGTATATATTTTCTAATCCCTTGGTGGTAATTTTTTTTTTTTTTTTTTTTTGTTTTGCCCCCGGCACTGTTCCCGAGGGAACAGTACCTGCGAGTACTGTTCAGAACAAAATTTTTTTTTTTTTGCCACCGGCACTGTTCCCGAGGGAACAATACCCGTGGGGGTACTGTTCATGAACAGTAAAAAAAGTTTTTTTTTCCCCCAGCACTATTCCCGAGGGAATAGTACCCGCGGGTACTGTTCATGAACAATAAAAAGTTTTTTTTTTTTTTTTTGCCCCCCGGCACTGTTCCCGAGGGAACAGTAATATATATATATATATGTATATATTTTTAAATTGCAACTTACAATTTCTTTTCACAGAGTTTAAGGACAAACCGATCCTCTCAACTCAAGAAACAAAGTATGTCAGTGAGGCCTCTACTTACCCAGTGAAGACCTTTAGCGATCTCATAACTGACGATGCTTTAGATTTGTACATACGAGCTACTATCTCAACTGAAACCCCCACCCATTCAGAGAAAGGTAAGAAAAACGAAGACACTTATACTTAAACTTACTGATTTTAGTTAATATTTTATTAAATATTTTCCTTACTACTATTTATGTAGGCAAGAAACTTAGTAAAAGGCTCATGGCCTAAGTCCGGTCAAGTAATCTTCCTTCTACTTCTGCTTCCAAAAAATTACAAAGGGTAGGAGAGGAAAATCTTGGTAAATCTTCAAGCCCTAGAGTGTTATTAGGTCCTACTCCTATATCTCTAGGTTTCAGCGGATTTGGTAGGGTTCTTACGAGTTTTGAGAGTTTTGGTTTGGTATCAACCAACCAAGCATTTTCCCAAGGGGAGTCGATTCTCGATAACACTAATGTCGTGCATGGTAGGCAACATAAAATGGTAGTAAAAGATGACACTGCCAGATTGCAGAGCCTACTAGCATCTGAGCTTTCAAGGAAATTCCCTCATCTAATTAGCCAGGTGAGATTTTACCCTTATCATGTGCATCTCTTCCTTTTTTAACTATTTGCCACTATTTATTTATTTATTTATTTATTTATAGGGCACTACATACTCTGTTGTTATCGCAAAAGAATACGAGAAGTTTCCCTAGAGATGGCTTCCCTCAAGGCTAAATATGAAGATGTTACTTCTATACTTAAAAATAAAGAAGATGACTTGGCTAATGCAAAATTAAACTTTCAAGATGAGAAAGTGAGACTTACCAAAGAATACTTCGATAAGCTGAAACTTGAGAAGCTAGTTACTGTGGAAAGCTTTAAAAATTCTGATGAGTTCAAGGTGCTCATAGGCAAGGCTTGATGTGATGGTTTTAACCAATTCAAAGCTCTTGTTAGCAAAGATCGTCCAGACATAGACTTTTCTATGTATGATATTCTAGCTGAGAGCGAAAAGGAAGATTGAATTCCATAGTAGCAGTCATATATATATATATATATATATATATATATTAGGCTTTTTGCTTTCTTAGCATGTCGATCCCTTAGAACTTTTCAGAATATCTCTCAATTCAGAGAATAGTTGCTCTACTTTTGACATTTTGTCTTTCATGATAATTCTTTATACTTGTTATTTCCTTATGCAGAATTCCTTTTACTTTTTCAGGCTTCACTCAGCCCGTCCTTCTTCTGAAGGAATGTATTTTTATGAGCTTCACCCAGCTCGTCCCTTTAGTAAGGGAATGTCAATTATTTCTTTTAATAAAGAAATGGACTTAATGCTTTACTAGTCCTTTCGTGACTCATTAAATTCAATAGTAACATAGTCAGCAGTAGAAAAATGTGAAATAAAGACGAGTGATAAATATGAAGGTTTAAAAAATGGAATTATTTCTTTGTTTATAATTGGAATGAGCATCCTATATTTTTTACCTTTATAATCAATTAGCTAGTCAGATTTTTTTTAATTGAGTTTTATAAATGAGTTAATTTTTAAAACGGTTATTGGTGTTATTATTATTATTATTATTATAGTAAGAAAATAATTATGGAATGTTATTAGTTGTGTTTATTGCATACATTATTTATATTAATTCTTGCTCTCAATCAGGTTACTCAGAGAAGTTAATTTGTATTTTGACTTTACAATTGTAATTTTGCTGATTGAGAAACTGAATTTGTTTAAGATATTACTAACGTATAATATGGAATTAAGAGAATTTAAATGTGCATATGTTGACGCTAAAATTGGCTCCTAAGATCCGATCTTAAATTGAGTTGGAGTGGGCGTGCCAGAACCACTTGGGTGGTTCAAGTGTAAATTGTCAACTTTAGTCCCTTTAGGTAAGTTGACTTTCAGGCGATGCGAGAAAAAAGGGAACAATAAAATTTCTCTTTTGAGTTCAATAATGCCTTAGTTAAAAGGACTTTATTAGTGAATAATATATAGTAACGTATCAAGAGAATAGAAAGGGGAAGAAATAGATATAGAAAATGATAGGGAGAAGAGATAGGGAGAAAGAGATATAGAGAGAGAAATATAACGAGACTGAAATAGAGAGGGAGAGAGACAGATATGGCAATGATGCTATTTGGGGAAAGTGCTTGAGAAAGCAAACAAAATAATAAATTGATTCTGAGGGTGCTGGACCTCTATCTCAGCATGCCTCTTTGATTATTTATAGAATAAAAGATAGAAACAAACTCCTATATGCAAGTATTTTACTTGCATTACAACTCTATCACAACTAACTATAAATTCAAAATAAACTAATCCTATAGATAACCCAACTAACTATAAGTATAAAATAAACTAATCCTAAAGATAAATATAAATATTTAACTTACATCAACTAAAAGATAAATACTAAAATTATAATCCCTATCCATTAAATAATTCAAATGCTTCAATCTCCTTTGCCTCTGAATGTAGCTTCTGTAACCTTTTCCACGTGTCAATTTATACCAAAATTGGTTACCATGTCATTAATACAAAATTTACCAAAAAGGGTGTCAACAATGCCCCCCCAATTTTAAATGTTTTATCGGCTGTCGGCCGCCTAAGCCGATAAGATATTTGAAATTTAAAGTACATTGGAAGGAAATTTTGAACAAAGGCTGCACTAGTCACTTGGAATTAGGTTGCAAATCAACAAGCTCCAAAGCTTTATTTCTTCTGAATCACCTCTAAGATGATCTTTATTTCATATTAGCCAAATCTGCAGATTTAAGCTTCTTCCTAGATTTTCAGATAGTTTGCCGATATTGCCAGCCCATATACCCAGGAAGGACTTGCCCCCCATGCATTTTCTAACTCCATTAGCAAATCATGATCATGATTGGCAGGGATAAAATTATTGTGAAGTGTCATTCTTGCCGATCTGCTTATTATCTCTATGACATTGTGCCAAGAAGGAGTTTTCTTAGCTGATTTCCTTTCAGCCGATTTCATTGCAGCCGATTTTGCATTCAGCTCCATCGGCAGGACTGCATTATACCCAAAAGTCCATTGATCGGCAAGCATGACCTCACTATAATCGACAAGCTGAAGTAGATCGTATGGATCAACTAACTTTTGTTAGGGGTTAACAATCACATGCCCCCCGGCGGCTGCTGGTCTTTCAGCCAATTTTGTCTTTGTCGATTTTCTTTTAGCCGATTTTGACTTTGCCGATTTTCTTTTAACCAATTTTGCCTCAGCTGATTTTCTCAACTGAGCTCTAAGTAACCATTTGAAATTAACATCGGCTATTCTTTTTTTTCTTTTCTTGAAATTGGATTGAGGACAACGAGCTAAAATAATTCTTTTAGCTGATGATTGTTTTTGCCGATTATTAGATGTCACAATCGGCAAGGAATGTTGGTACATAGGCCATTTTGCTTTCAGCCAAATTTCTGGTAAAATTTTTTGTCGAGATCGGCAAGGCTGGACGATTTCAATACCAAGCTGATAGTTTGTCTAACTTTGTTGTTGATAAGTCACTTGTTGTGATTGATTTACCACTTGCCGATAATCGACTGCTGAAACTTGCCGATAATCTAATGCTGGTGGCTGAAATTTTGCTTGTGACGGATAATAATCGTACCGATCACACGGTTGATATTTTCTGTCGTTGAGAGTCGCAAAATCATTATTTGGCTGAAGTGGAGCATACGGGTCAACCTATTCCCGTTGTAGATTTGCAATCACATGCCCCTCGACAACCGCCGGTGGTATTGATGGAGCTTATGAGTTGTTCCTCCCTTGGTTCTGATTTTTGTCTATCTCTTTGGGTTCTCTCTAAGGCAAAATCGGCAATGCTTGCGAGTGTTGATTCTGATTTTGCTGACATAGCATCGGTGGTTGAGGACGTTTATGCCCTTGAGCTATCTCGGCCTGGATTAGGGCTGAAACCTGAGCCAACATTGCTTTAATCTCTTGATTCGCCTATCGATAATCAGCTACTAGTCGCTGATCATTTTCAAGCTAACCATACGACTGATTGACCATCGGCTGCTCCCCAAGTACCGAAGGTTGTGATACGGGGGTGACATGTTGATTTGCCACTTGCCAATAATCGACCATTGGCGTCTGCCGATAATCAACGACTATTGGAACTTGCCGATAATCGACTGTTGGAACATGCCGATAATCAGTGGCTGCTGGAACATGCCGATAATCGAATGTTGGAACATGCCGAAAATCGGTTGCTGTTGGCGTCTGCAGATAATCAACTGCTGGAACAAGCCGATAATCAGCGACTGCTGGAACATGCCGGTAATCGAATGTTGGAACATGCCAATAATCAGCGGCTGTTGGTGCATGCCAATAATCAGAGGCTGGAACATGCCGATAATCGTCTGGCCAACCATATGGCTGATTAGAATACTAGTACATCAGCTGATTTAACTGATCAGAATATTTGTATGTCGGTTGAGAAGTCGATTGCATATTTTTTACTATAAATAACTCACCTAGTGGGTCCCACCGGGCGTGCCAAAAATGTTGACTCTAAAATCGGCTCCTAAGATCCGATCTTAAATTGAGATGTAGTGTGCATGCCAGAACCACTTGGGTGGTTTAAGTGTAAATTGTCAACTTTAGTCCCTTTGAGCAAGTTGACTTTTAGGCGATGCGAGGAAAAAGGGAACAATAAAATTCCTCTTTTGAGTTCAATAATGCCTTAGTTAAAAGGACTTTATCAGTGAATAATATATAGTAACGTATCAAGAGAATAGAAAGGGGAAGAAATAGATATAGAAAATGATAGGGAGAAAGATATAGGGAGAGAAATAGAACGAGACTGAAATAGAGAGGGAGAGGATAGATATAGCAATGATGCTATTTGAGAAAAGTGCTTGAGAAAGCAAACAAAATAATAAATTGATTCTGAGGGTGCTGGACCTCTATCTCAACATGCCTCTTTGATTATTTATAGAATAAAAGATAGAAACAAACTCATATATGTAAGTATTTTACTTGCATTACAACTCTATCACAACTAACTATAAATTCAAAATAAACTAATCCTATAGATAATTCAACTAACTATAAGTATAAAATAAACTAATCCTAAAGATAAATATAAATATTTAACTTACATCAACTAAAAGATAAATACTAAAATTATAATCCCTATCCATTAAATAATTCAAATGCTTCAATCTCCTTTGCCTCTGAATGTAGCTTCTGTAACCTTTTCCACGTGTCAATTTATACCAAAATTGGTTGTCATGTCATTAATATAACATTTACCAAAAAGAGTGCCAACAGCATGTGAATTTAATTAGTAGTAAATGTTTTTCACATATATAATGAGTAATTAATGCATGTCATAAAAATTTGTATTATATAGCATGAAGTTGTACGTTCTTACATGTGATGAAAATATAGTACCTTGTAACGTTTCACTAATTGGCTCATTTATCCTAGTGTTGAATCAGCTTTAGTTACGCATCTAATGGTAATTGAACTATCGAAAAGAAATAAAAGCAGAGAAGATTGAGAGCAAGCGAATCCAACACTCAAAGGCGTCATCGCCAATTCCTCTAAATAACATCCTTAGTGTAATGTTTCTATTTTTCGCCATTTTTTATTTTACGGAATTTTTGTTTTTGTGAGGGCATTTTTGTCTTTTTCCGTTTTGCATGCCAGACACCGTAGGGTGTGTCGGGTCTGTCCGAGAGTTGGTTGAGGCATTTCTTTAAGTTTAAGACTCTTAGAAATGCAACGGTTAACATTTCGGCATTTTTTCGTTTTTCGGGCCGAAAGGTCCAGGTGGGACCCGCTACCGGATTTGTTATGTACAGGGTTTGCGTCACAGGTCCATTGTATGTCATGTATAATTATTTTGTACACAATTTGATTGTTGTAAGTTAAATGTGTGATATAATGATGAAATTGAGATTTAGATGATGAGAGTCACTACATTGCATGTCAGAGTGTAAACGAAGGATTTTTGGGGGAAATTTATAATGAAAGGTTATTTTTAGAAAGTTGGGTTTTCTTTTAAGGAAATGAAATGTTTTCTTTAAAATGAACCGGATTTCGCAAGTCCGGGGCTAGCTTGACCTAGAGGGAGCGCTGCCTAATTTAGGGCGTGAAAAAAGTTGATACTAGACCCTTTAACGGTTGCCAAGCATTACCAGAAATGGAACCAAGGATAGTTATCAATCTCGCCTTAGTAAAGTCAGTTAGCGAATTTCTAAAAGTGTGGGTTGTGTCCATATAGACTAGATTTGGGACAGGTGCATCACATTCCATTTCATGCATTTCATTTGGTGGAATTGTGGCAAGTATTGAAATTGTTTTCTTGCTAAGTTGTTTATGATGTATGAATCCCCTTTGCATAATCCCGGCATCTTTTCAATCCAATTATGTGTTACTTGACTCAAGGGAGTTCAAAACTAATGGCTTAGGTAACTTCTACTGGGCTTTACGCTCACCCCTTATTTTTAACAAATTTTTGGACACGGAAAGGAGGTGGCGGATGATAATCCACCACAGGCTTAGACTGGATTGGAAATTTTATCTAGTTATCTTTTTTTATGGAAGCATATGCCATGTAATCTTTTGTAGAATTTTGCAAACATTTTGTATAGTTTTCAACTGGGGTTTTGTAATATGAGGAATTCGAAACACTTGATGTATAAATGTTTATTTTCATGTAAACGACTTTGGAACTAGGTAAAAAATTATATAAGTTTCATATTTTGAATATATGGAATGTGGCACACCATTTTGCAGTGGGTTGAGACAGGTTTTGAATTAGTTTTAAGGTCTCTATTGAGACCATTTTGCATTTAAGCTCATAACAGCTCAGTTGCAACATTTCCACTTCGCAAGGTCATTTGGGCCGACCAAAATGGGCATTTTGTGGCCACGGCATCTTCAGATACTTCTATTGGTCTGCTCGATATACGGAAGTTAACGTCTCCACTGCATGCTTAATTTGACCAGTCACATGTATGCCCTTTGCTCTTCAAGTAGATTTTAAAACTAATACCATGAGAAATTATGATGTTTTTTTTAGAAGGTACAAAAAAAAAAATGGAATAAATTTGGGGTTTTGAAAATGACTTTCCTTCAGGCTCAGACTACACCACCTTAAGTTTGCACTAATTTAATTTGAGTTCAACATTTGACAAACTAAATTAAATTTGCTTGTTTAATTATATATATTATGCATCTATATATTTAGATATGCACTGTCTAAATTAAGTACAGCACACATCTACAAAGTTAAATAATATGTTTATATATGTATATATTATATGCAATATATATATATATATATGTAAACAAAATGGTTAGTCTGAAATGACTTCAATTGGTTTGAAATGTGAGAAGCTAGCTCTTTGGTTCGATTGTGACTTCTGCTGCAAAGACATGCTCAGCAGTGATGTTTTGTCATTTAGGTTTCAGAATCAACATGTGAACCAAGTGTTTTGAAATGAAACTATGATCTAACCTGAAGCCTGAAGGAAGGCTAAGAAATGTAAGATAAGACTTGTGAAAGAAATGTGTTGGGTCTCATATATATATATAGTTTTTAATAAAGATTTAACTGTAAAAAACAAGTTGGGAAACTTATCTGAGACCCTCACCACGTTGTGTCTGAAAAGGCTTGCGTTGAAAGCCCTTGTGTCCGTATGCATTCTGGAACATGGTCGAAACAAGTTGGGTTATGTCGACTGAGAATCCCACCGGTCGGATCTACGTGTAGACCCTTCTGTCGTGTGAGCAACACAAAATCGTCAATGCGCGGTGCTTAGAAAAGGGCTGGGTTCAAATCCCAGAGAGTAAGAATTCGTGAATGCATCACGTCACTGGACTTCGTATGGATGGAAGTCACGTTGGAGATTTTAATTTAAAGTGTTGTGACTTTTTGTGTGTTGCGCGTTGGGGTTGGACGGTTGCACTTGTTGTGCAAAGATCTGGCTGTGTGAGGAACATGGGCTTTGGAGTCTGCCAGGCGTGCAGACCTTCGGTACCGACTGGCGGTTGGAAAGGATTGGATTCAAATCCTGGAGAATCACTTTGCTGGATTTGAACGCGCATGTCACGTTATTGGACTTCGCCTGGATGAACACCGACTGTAATTTTGGTGGTTGGAAAGGGATAGGTTCAAATCCCATGCATCACATTGCTGGTGTAACGTGATCTGAGCCATCTGAGATCTGAGCCAGATAACTACTCACTCGTGGAGGTATATTTCTATACGTTTTCCACAGACAGCGCCAAAGTGTAAGTGCAAAAATTCGTTTGACTTTGACAAGTCAACGAATTATCCACAATTAATACACCCAAAATAATAATGGAGAATAGACAATGAATTAAAGAAATTGTACAGAGATAAGGGGGGTATTTTGATGATATGACTGAACTTAGGATTACCTAGATTGCCTACGCATCCCGCCTTATGGGGCGTGGGAATCAGGTCGGAACGTAATTCTGAGGATGAGAATTGGATCTCTCTTTGGGGACTCTGCCTTTTTTCTCTCTCCCCATATTGAGGGTCTAGTCCTAAGCCCTTTTTATATAGGAAAAAACCATAATCGATTCCTTTTAGGACTCGCATTGCTTGTCCCTTAAGAATCTGAATTACATCATATTATCCTTATAACAAGGATTTACATTATTTAGTTTCCATATATTATAATCCTTCTTCTAATAAAACTATTACTAAAATGGGTTTAGTAATATATTCGTAATTGGGCTTGGGGTCTCATCATCTCGAGCCTTCTTAATGAATTCAGTCAATTATGCTTAGTTAAACCGGCCCAAGCTTCTTGAAGAGGCCCAATTTGAAGGTTGAATAGTCTCAATATTTGTGGTGGTCCCCTAATGTGCTGATGTGTCTTAACTTAATTGGAAGGGGAGATTTTTGCCCCCACAACTACTTTACCATAATTGTGACATGCATTGTGTAACTTACTTTTTGAATTGTATTTTGACACATGGTGTATTTTGGATATTATAATTGAAGACATGGTTGTAATATTCTTTTGGAAGGGAAAATGACTTAGGAACTCACCCATCTATCTTTTAGAGTTCTTATGAAATTTCCTCTCTTATCTCTAGTCATGCAATCCCATAACATTATTTCTCACTTTATAAATTATAATAAAGTCGTGGAGGCTATAGTTTCTATTTGGATCATATATATTGTTTAAAAGCCATGTTCATAAAACAATCGTGAATGCATGTGTTGGAACCATATAGTAGTATAATTTTATTTTAGTCATTGTGTTGGAACCCATGTAGCAGTGTGTGTGTGTGTGTGTGTGTGTGTTTGTGTGTGTGTGTATCTAGGTTGAATCAAGTTCATTAATTGAAGTCGTTTCTGTATTAGTTGCCATGTTCGTTCATTTGGCAGGCTTTATGTATTAGTTCCCAGGCTTTATGTATTAGGCCCATTCCTTTGCTTCCATACTTGATTTGTATCAGGCTTGGTTACCAAACAAATGATAGTTGCCCCATGTGAAACTTAGTGTTGGGCATGATGTAGGTTTAGTGTCAAAAGATTGTTGCCACTGATTTGTCACTCGTGTGTGTTACCTTGTTGACCAAAGGTAATGAACATTAGACCCTTTTTTTTTCACCACATATATATATATATATATATATATATATATATATATATATATATATATATATATATATATTCATTTAATTATTATTATTATTTATAATTTAGTTGAGACAATGAATGGTTTGTTTGGATAAAAATAGTAAGGGCAATATAGTATATCAGTGGGTATTTTACCATGGGTATTCACATTTGAATAAGAGTATAGATGAATGACCCTGGTTTTTCTGCAATTTATTTATCTATTTAATTATCTATTTTCATCTATTTTCTATTATTTTGTTCGGGACCCGAGTCATGGGATTTGGGGCATGACATATATTCCCACTTATTTCAACCTGCAATAGCTAGCCCTCCTTCAACTTTTGTGTTATTTATTTATTTTTTTCAAAATTATTCCGACCCTGATGTTAACTCATTATTTAACATATTATCCTTGTTAAATTTTATACATCTTTTAACCTATGCTATACTTTTAACCTATGCATAGCTCATTGCACATTCGAGTTGTTTATTTATTATTATTTTTCAAAAAAAATTATAAAGACAAAAGAAAATAAAAGGCAAAGTCAATTACTATGAAAGCAAGTAAAAAAAAGGTAAAACAAAATTAAAATGAACTGATTAACCAAAAATAAGTTTAAAAAAAATAAATAAATAAATAAAATAAAATCATCACCACTTTCACCCTCTCTGTTAAAATAACGTGAAATTATAGAATGACAAAGATAAAGTGAAATTATAGAATAACAAAGATAAAGTGAATTTGATCGGTAAAGATCTGCATGTGGACCTCATTCAAGGAGAAGATTGTTGGATAATTGAAGGAGTCTCACATCACATCGGTTAGAAATAAAGAAATCCGGAACTTACATAACCAATATATGAAAATTTGAAACAACTTTAGACGAAGCATCTTTAGTACTAACAGCATTCGGTCCATTACATTAAATCAAACGATTCTTAAACTTAAAAATACAACAATATATATGGATAAGGTACACACCAACCCATTTCATTACATCAAACGATTCACAAACCATTCTTAAACTTAAGAAATACAACAATATATATGGATAAGGTACACACAGCAACCCAGTTATTAGCTAGACCAAATCCATTCATGTTCACACAAGTAAACCAACCAACCAGAATGCAAAAAACAAATCCATGCTCATACGGGTATGTGATTGATGAACATTGAGACGATGTGATCTTTTTTTGGATGAGTGTATCCATCATGTTTCTTGGAAAGGACATCCATTGTTCGGGTTAGGTTGACAATCCTTCTGAGGAGATGCATGAAGATGGAGTTTGGCTTGAGGCATTCCTCATTAATCTCTTTCCATGCATTTTCAATCCTTCTATTGAACTCGTCAATTACCTCTTCTTTTGACATGCCTGCATGCTCCTTCATGTAGCATATAATCCCTGTAGCAACATGTCCCTTCTCCAAATCTTCCTTCAAAGGTTAAAGATTTATAACTGTTAAGAGATTCACATTATAACTTATATAACAAAACAATTGATCAAACCGGCCAATACAAATGGCATGCTATTAATATTAATTTCGTTATACAATTTTTTCATATATATATACCTCGTAGTCTACTATGTCATCCATGAGCCTCACAATTGTTCTTGAAGCCACAAGAATTTTAGGTTTATCTTTTATCCAACCAAATGTTTCAGTCGTAGCAATTGCTCCCATGCCCACAAAGGATGATGCAGTGAGTAGGTAATAACCAACGCTGTTAAGCGCATTGCTCATGAACTCATCGAAAGATGGCACATATCCTTCTTTACACCACTTGGCCTCCATGTGGTAACTCCTCGCTATCTCTTTAAACTGTTTGTGTTAGACATAATAAATCCATGTTACTTTACATTAGAATTTTAATTAAGGTCGAAATAATAATCCTTCTTAAACACATAGAATTGAGAAACGAAATGACTAAATGGGGTGAAAGGACTTGGATAAGTCATACAACATTCGGTTCAGAAAGAAAAAGTGGTGTGTGAGTTAGTTGCCATGCACAATGAAAAAACAAAAAACATACGGCATATTTTGAGCCATCAACGCTATAGGATCTTCCTTGCTTTGTCATTTCCTTGTCGAATTCCTCATAGAGATTTATAATCGCTCTATAGTATAATTCGTTCAATAGTGCTAATATCCAACCTGAAAGTTGACAACGTGATTTCTATATTCATTCAGTTGAAGATTGAATATAATCATCAACAACGAATCTTTTGGTTCCTCTTATAGCATGCATAGGAAAACACCGCAAGACTTGTATAGTTGAGGTCGGCATACATATGAGAAATTCTACAATATTCAGGGTACTTACACATGGTATCCCAGCCAATTGACAAACATAAAACTCTCAATTTCTTCTATATCAAGGCAAATTGATAGTTTTCAAGTCTGTCCATTAGCTAGGGGTACCTCCTGTACAATACCCTGGAGTACTGTAGACTTTATCATTACATAGATTTTGGAGGAGCTATCCAAATTTTTTTTTTCTTTTTCCATAATTGATGCTCACACACATATGTCTCCATGAAGACTTGAACCCTTGATCTCCCTTTGAGAAGTAAGGGCATGATACTAGGCCCCATTAGTAGTTGTCTAAAAATTCAAATTTCATTAAGTGGAAAAAAAAATTTAATTTGAGAGTTGCAACTTATCGACATATAACCTTTCCCAAAAAATAAAAATAAAAAAAACTTATCCACACACACACATATATATATATAAGGAATTTGGGAGTACAAATATTATACCTTTGCATTGCATCAGTAAAAAGTTTGAGTTCTTCAATTGTACCATATTCATCATATATGTCATTTAGAACTGATGACATAACAATTATTTTAGCGAGTATGATCCGTCCAAGGGAATAATGAGGTTCAAAATACGCAGTCATAGCCCAGAAATAGCACTCAACTACCCTGCTCCTTACAAACGGAAGTTTTGATTCAAAGCCTAGGTCATTCCACCACCTATGTAAAATAGAAGAGATAAATTAGATTTACTTAAAAAAAAAAAAAAAAAAAAAAAAAAAAAAAAAAAATCACACACACACACACACAGGTATACACCTACTCATTACCTTGACATGTGACATAATTCTTGCTTGTGTGTCAACTGTAACAGATTGAAGTCAAACTTCGCAAGTTTCAGTAACAATTTATTCTTAGAAACGTCTTCTTCGTATATAGAGATGTAACGCCTAGCCTCTAATCTTGGGATGCCTTTGTGAAGGGGTTGCTCTAGGGCATGCATCACTTGCTTTGCAAGAAAAGGGCTTAATTCATCGGTTACCATTGACTCAAGGTGAGTGGTTGTGAAAGCAAGAGCCTCATCTATAATATCTTCTCCATTTATCCTCAAATGTGAAGCTTCATACAAGCTTAGCATACCCATAACATCTCTGGTAAGGTTTTCATTGAATTTACCATTGTTGTCTTTAAATTTGTTGAAGACATCTGTTTCACAAGCCATCATATATCAGCCATACATGAAACTCTATGGACCGCAAGTGATGCATGTGAATGTTGAATTGTTGAGCATACAACTACTACATCTATATGTACGTGTGAATGCATGCTCTCATATATATATATGTGTGTGTGTGTGTGTGTGTGTGTGTGTGTGTGTGTGTGTGGTGAGGAGCTTAATTACCGCAAGACATGTTATAACCATGTTGTCTGAATATTCGAAAATGAATAGCAGCTGTGCTCAAATCGTTGTAGTCTTCATGATCTTCCAAGTGGGAATGGGAATGAAAGATTTGTTCCAACTTCTCTTCGATCTCTTTCTCAAAGTGATAGAAGACACCAAGGCGTTCGATTGTGTTAATCAGATTCATTTTCTCTGATGCTTTACTTTCTGCATCTATTAGCATACTTCTCACTTCTTCTTTCAACACTTCAACCTCTTTACTATACATTTCAAATGCCTGCAAACCCAAATCAGAGCTATGTAACTATATAGAGGCATTCGATCATTATTCAAACACACTTGATGAAAATATACATATTATATATATAGCAGATAATTGTTACCTGGTTATCTAGATGGAATGAACTGAAACGATCACCCCATAAACTAGGCTCGAAGTTTGCTGAAGGGCGAAAAGTGTCGGGCTGCCAGTCAATCGGATTACCAGCTTTAGTGGAGGCCATTTTAAGATGTAGCAGGATGGTGCACTGACTAGTTTTTCTTAATACCAAGAGAGTTACATAAACGGGCTACTACGTAATAATACGGACCTCTATGTGTGTATTATATAGAGAGAAATTGAGTGATTTCGAATACATTAAGTTGAATATGCCAAGAGAATAAACTTGACATCATGACATGACCCGCTAAAACTGCTAAAACGGTACTAAATAAATATATTTGTGTTTGATTTAATTGTGTATACGTTGTAATTTTATGGATTCAAATTAATGTACAAATTACATGTGACATGTTTATATTTTATCATAAATTCATTTATAATTTGATTGGATGGATTTAACTTAATGTGTCATTTCCGTATTAAAAATTATCGTTTAATTTAAATGTGTATTAATTTAACCTTAAGAATATAAAATTTAATTATGTGGTGTGAAATAATAATCGTGTTGCACGTGTTTTGTATAGACCCGTATATCAATGATCTTTTCCTAAAAAAACATGAATAACCAACCCTCCATGATAGCTACAAGGTCATTTACTAGGTACGTACTTATAATTCAATAGGCCAGCTAAGCTAGTCTTCAATTAACTACAAGTAATACTTAGTACATTGTACTAGTACTACATTGTATGGACAATAATAAAATGCCTGCCTCTTTCTTGCCCTTCTTTTCTTTTTTCTTTTTTCTTTTTTCTTTTTTTTTTTTTCCTGGCAAGAAAGCGTCATACGGCATCTACAGACAAGGAGCACGCTACAGCAACCATACAAGAACCACATAGATCAACAAATAATAAAAACAAGCAATAACAAAACTAATACCCTTTATGGTCAAGATCACAGTCCTGACAAATCAAAAAAATGTGTCAGTTACAATGGAAGTATCAGCACTACAAACATGTCCTTCACTATACCACAAACAAGAAAAAGACGCGCAAGAGCTCCACAAACATGTCCTTCGCCTCTAGCCAAGTTGCGCACCATACCACCAATATCCACATGACCTTGCACCAACCCCAGCCAAAGCTGTTGCCAAACTTGATTCATTGCAGACTGTGAAAACGGGACATAACCCACCAAAGACTTGGGCTTAATAGAGTCAACCCAAAACTACTGACAAAACTGACGTTTCATCATTAATGAGTTGCAATAACCCAATTCAATCACAAGGAAGATAACACAAGCATATCCCGCCATGCCCCGTTTAAGATTTGAAATTCTCCTCCATTAAATTGTTTTTTTTTTATCAATTAAAATTATATAATTATTAAAAAATTTATTTAAAAAAATGGACAATAAATAGTTTAACATAAAATTCAACATTAAAAACATTCTAAATGATCGCGCAAGTTACTTGTTCCAGATTTTTAGATTTTGTTGCAAAACAAATTGTCTCAATATATATACTAATGAAATAACGGTACTAATGCAAAATATATATACTAATGAAATAGGGGTACTTGAGTAATTTATCTATCTAAACGGGACGAGATGGGGCGGGGTGATCTCATCCCGCCTCCGCACCAAACCCGCGCAAGTTTTTATTATATCAAACCATCCCTACTCAAATAAGCTAAACGGTCCCCCAAAACCGCCAAAAATGGGGCGGGGCGGGGCAAATTGTATCCCAACATACACCGGGTGGAAAGAACTTGGGGATAAGCAACACGAGTCCTAAACAAATTCAACCAAAGGTCCTCACAATAAATGGTGAATGATATTCGACAATTGTGAATATCATTATTCTATTATTTCTTTGAGTGTGTTACACCAATTTTTTTCGTTTAGGAAGCATGTTCCTTATATTGTATGGCCATACCAAGTTCGTAGAATTTTATTTCTTTGAGTGTGTTACTTTTTGAATTGTATTTTGACTCATGGTGTATTTTGGATATTATAATTGATGACATGCTTGTAATATTCTTTTGGAAGAAGGGAATGACTTACTCACCCATCTATTTTTTGGAGTTTTTATGGAATTTTTTCTCTTATTTCTATTCATGCAATCCCATAACATTATTTCTCACTTTATGAATTGTAACGAGGCCATTGAGACTATAGCTTCTATTTTGATCATATATATTATTTAAAAGCCATCTTCATGAAAATATAGTGAATGCATGTGTTGGAATCCATGTAGTAATATAATTTTATATGAGTATCTCATTAAAAATTATTAGTAATATCATCATCACCATTATTATTATTACTTGTTGGAAATTTATATATATATAAATAATAAAAATTATTTATGGTCCTATGCACTACATTTTCTAAAATAAGATTGCGATGTGATTATTGATACTTGATGGATTGGGTTGTACTTTTCAATTTGGTGGTCTAATTGGGAATATGATTTTATACTGTTGGATTGTAGTTTTCCAACTTATTTGGTGTGATTTAATTCTAACCATTGATATCTAAGTTTCCATGATAGGAATGGAGACTTAGGTATGTTTATTTATAGAGAAGCCGTCCCCCCCCCCCCCCCTCCCCCTGTTATTGTTGTATATAAGGGTTTTAAAACCTTTATTCAAACATATCTATCGACAACGCTCAGAAGGGAGTAAAACGCTCTAATTTTTTAAGTCTCTTGAAGAGTACTAAGGAATTCTCAAAGGTATCTAAAGTTTAATCTTCTAATCAGATATGATAGCAAAAAAACCTCTCTTTAATTCATGATTAATTTTGATTTCTACATGTTATTTATTATTTAAACCCAACAATTGGTATCAGAGTCAACTTAGGGTTTGTAGAAATCAAAATAGTAAATATTGATTTATGATCTAGCATACTTAAATCGGTGTATTTGAAATCACATTGATTACCTTTGTGTCCTCGATTTTTGTGGGTGATTAATCACATATATGGTTAAAAAAAAAAATTTATGTGTTTGTATTGGAACATACGAACTCCATGGATATATAAGCTTTTTGTTTTTAAAAGCTTTGACCATATACATATATCATATGATGTGCACACCGAACGAGAAGTATATATATATTTTGTGTTAGAATTTGTTTTCTTTTGTAAAGCATATGCGCAGAACGAGGAAGAAAATTCAAGTGTAAAAATAGATACTTTTTTGGTGTTTATTGTTGCTATAAGGTTTCAGTATTGACTACAGTTTTAGTAAAGGATGCACAAAAGTGAAAAAGGAAAGAAAAAAATCTATAAGACAAGAATAGTAAAACGATTCAAAATTGCATATATATGTGTGTGTGTGTGTGTGTGTGTGGATGTATATATAATTATACTAATCAGTACACGACTGAATGACACAATTGGAAACTTTTATTATTTTATTATATTTAGGTCATTCGTTGATAGAAAAGAATGAATTGTTTAATAGAATATGAATTTATCCATTAATTCTTTTTTTTTTGAATTATTTATTAGGATAAGTATTGGATGATATCATTTTTTAAGATGAAACACAAAAAAAAAAAAAAAAAAAAAAAAAAAAAAAAAAAAAAATTCACTGATTAATGAATCACTGTTGATTGCATGTAGTATATAGATAAACTGTTTGATAAAATGTCAAATTTGAAGTTTGATTGAATATTTGAATAATATATAATTTATATAATATTGAATCTATATCCTGGAGCATGGATATTACTTAACTCTGACCCAGTTGACATGATCATACAAAAATAAGTATTACCGTATTATACTTTGTTCTAAATAATATATATATATATATATATATATATATAACTCATATAGTTAGCTTTGTGCATATCCATTGGGTGACAAAAATTATTATAATTTTTATTCAGGATTCAAAGAGACTTTGAATTGTTTATTGGAATATCCAATAATAAATGTACAATGAGAAATGTCTTTATTTGAGTGAATAGTGTATTGATATGCATGAAGCTGAAAGGCTTAACTATATATGTGTATATGAATTAATGTGTTCATGAAAATATAACTCTCAGGTTTTTATCTTTCCTTCAAAACTAATCTAGAAGATTGGTTTTGGTTTAAGAACTCAACGTGTGAATTAGTGTATATTTTTATTTTATTTTTTCATATAAAGTTATTTTCAATGGACATGGTTATTGAAGAATGCATAATATTGCGTTTTATTGATTGCTCCTAAAGAATCAAGTTATGAATTATTTATTTCAAGGTTGAAGAATCTATGGAGCTTGTGTAAGTAAGCAGTAATAACCTAATTGATTTGTGTTGATTTAAAAATTCAAGTACTTTAAATTATTTATCAGATATATAATATGCATGCATCAAGTTTTTTATTATTTTCTTTTAATTAAAGGAAATAAAGAATTGAAATTTTAAATCTTGATAGATATGCATGTTGTTGAAATATTGTTCACTATAATTTCTTGATATGTATGAGGAGGCTTAATTTATTTATGTTAAAGCCATGTATATTACAGTGAAATCAAGTGTTCTATAATATTTGGGTTTAGTTTATATGCATTATAAAGAAATTTTTTAACTTAAATAAATAGAACTTCTATAGTATAGGTTCTTCCTTGGGGTTTAGGAAAATCGATAAAGTGACCGTTTTAAAGGTGGTAGCCAAAGTGGGTGATGCCTGCCAAAAGGTGACATGCTCACGAAAGTTATTATTTTTGAAATTTTAAGGCATTGGTCTTATTGAGGTCTTACAGTGCACTTACCTACATGAGGGCATTTGTTCTGCTAAAAGGTGATTAATGTCTTAGTGTGGGACAAGTGAGTAGAATATTTGAGAGTGCTTGGATTATAACTAAATAACCTTCTTTCCAAAAGGTAGTGGAAGTGTTTAGCAATAATTCAAGTATAATAAAAAAGGTCCATGTGATTTTATTGCAGATATAGGGATAAAATAAAATCTAAAATTCTACCAAAAGGTGATTTTTAGATGTCATTTTATTTGTTTCCGTAGTGTGAACTATTTTTTACATATAGTAAAACACCCTGAGAAATTCGGCTTAAAACCCCAAGCACGAATTAAAGTAATAATCCCAAAAGCTATGATATATTACTATA